CGGATCAGAAAACAGCCATCGCCCACGGTTTCGCCTCTGGGTTGAGTCTCGCCACGCGCCATCGTCGGCGGCAGAAGCAGAGCTAAGCTCGGTCGGCAACTTGGCTCTCGTCGGCCACGGCTGCTTCTGCGCAGGTCGGGGCCAGGGACGACTGCACGCGCACAGCTCTCGTGCCCCGGCCTGCTCCATCTTCGCGCCCAGCATTCCCACTGGTCCTTCTCAGGTGGAATGTTCAAGAATGGTAAAAGCAGTCTGGGCATCTTCCTCCTGTAGAGGGACGTGCCTGGCTTAAGCGTACGCATGGGGCGCTGCCGGCCACTGTCCCCGAGGCGAGGCCCACCGGCGAATGCGCACGTGCACCCCTCGAGTACGGCGGCCCCGGAAGTCACGACCCTTTCCCTGGGGCCGGTTTTTCATCCTGAGACGTTTTTTGACGGTCCCGGGGCCCAGCGAGGGCCTCCAGAGGCTGAAAACAGCGAAAACCTTGCCGTCCGTTTACGACGCGATCATGTCTGGGTGGGGCGCTGCCGGCGAATGTCCTCGAGGCGAGGCCCCCCAGCGAATGCGCACGTGCGCCTGGGCTGCTCCCCCCCTCGTCGCTTCCGAGCACGGCGGGGGCCCCGCCCCGTACTCGCCCCTCGTCGCCATGGGCTACTCGCCCCTCGTCGCCCCTCGTCGCCCACTCGAATTCGTGTAGCTCCCCCCCCTCTCCGGGAGGGGAGGAGATTCAGCTATCGGGAGGAGGAGGAGGAGGAGGAGGAGGAGGAGGAGGAGGAGGACGAGGAGGAGGAGGAGGAGCAGAGGAGGAGGAGGAGGAGGTAGGACCAGGAGGAGGAGGAGGAGTTTGAGGACGAGGAGAGGAGGAGGAGGAGGAGGAGGAGGAGGAGGAGTACGGCGTACTGGATGAGCAACTCCGCTCGCTCGACCAAGTGTCCCCGGCGCCTCCGCGCGCCGGAGGCGCGCCCGCGTGTCGAGGAGAGAGCGCCCGGCGGCGGGGGGCGGCAGCGGGCTGCACGCAGCAGCTTTCGTGTCGTGTCCCCCTCCCCCGTCCTCCTCCTCCTCCTCCTCCTCCTCCTCCTCCTCCCCTCCTCCTCCTCCTCCTCCTCAGCCCTCCTCAGTCCTCCTCAGTCCTCTTCCTCCTCCTCCCCCTCCTCCTCCTGCTCCTCCTCCTCCTCCTCAGCCCTCCTCAGTCCTCCTCAGTCTCCTCCTCCTCCTCCTCCTCCTCCTCCTCGTCCTCAAACTCCTCCTCCTCCCCCTTCCTTCTCATCCTCCTCCCCTCATCATCATCCTCATTCTCCGCCTCCTCCTGCTCCTCCTCCTCCTCCTCCTCCTCCTCCTCCTCCTCCTCCTCCTCGTCCTCCCCCTCTTCCTCCTCCGATCGCCTTCTTCTCCTTCTCCTCCTCCGCCTCCTCCTCCTCCTCCTCTTTCTCATCCTCCTTCTCCTCCTCACCCCTTCCTCCCCCGATCGCCTTCCTGGTTCGACCCGATCATTCGTGCGGAATCGCGCCGGCGGCGGCAGCGCCCTTCCTCTACGCCCCCCTATAATCCGATCCGATCCTTCATGCTGCGGCTCCCCGACGGCGGCGCCGCCCTCAGGGCCCCGTAGACGGGGACTCTGCTAAAACGGAGGACGAAGCAGTCTAAAATTCCCCGCTCTCTCTGTGTCTCCAGCTGCAGCTTTCAGAGTCCTGGTTCGTAGCGTCCTGGTTCCAGGAGCCCTGACCACCATCGGATCGCACAGTGGGGCGAGGCAGATGTCACGATACGATTGGCTCAAGATGCGCTTCGGGAGCTCTGGAGTCTCTCGCGGCCCTCCGCCACCGGTACTCTGCCAGCCGTGCCTGGCCACGTGGGACAACAAGAAGACCTGGGACTCTTGAAACGTCCGAGTGAGGGGAACACCCTCCCAAGGTGCCTGTCTGAAGCGGGGATTCCGCGGCGCGGATTCTGCTTGTTGATGTTGGTACTGTTGTTGTTGCTGTTGTTGTTGTTGGTTTTGCTGTTGCTGTTGTTGTTGCTGTTGTTGTTGCTGTTGCTGTTGTTCCTGCAGTTGTGAGAATTGTTCGTTGCTGTCGCCGCCCTCGCCAGCGACCCGCCCCGCGACCCAACCGCGACCCACCCCGCGCCCCGCCCCCTCGCTCGTTTCCGCCATTGCGTGGTGCTGCGTACCATTATGTCGGGCCTGCCCTCCCACAGGCGGATATTGGAAGAACAAATGGCCAACTAGACGAAATATGCTCAAGCGTAGCCAGAAATAGTAGAAGAACAACCGTCCCCAGACTATATTTTAATATTCCTCCTGTAGAGGGACATGCCCGACTTAAGCGTATTATCATGAGTCACACCGATCTGAAAACGAGGTCGGGCCTGTCCCCCCACAGGCGGATATTGGAAGAACAATTAAACATCGGATCAAAAAGATGCTCAAGCACAGCCAGAAGTAGTAGAACAATCCTCTCGAGACTATTGTTTCAAGACTATGTTTGAATACTCCTCCTATACAGGTATACAGGGACAAGCCCGACTTAAGCGCATCATCATGACGTCTCTCGGGGGGAACGAAGGGGGGGATAGCAAAGGGTAGGGTAGATAATCAGCTCACGTTGCTGATTTTCCCAGCGCCTCCCGGCGCCGGGAGGCGCCCATGCATCGAGGAATGGGCCCAGCGGCGGGGCCGAAACCAGCTGCAAACAGAAAATTTCGCAACCCTCCCTTTCCCTACTCCAAATCTCTTGTCAATCGTCCCCGGGTCCGGTTTTTTAAGGCGCCTTTTTTGTAACTGGAGGGTCCGGTATATTAGGGCGCTTTCTTTGGATTGGAGCTTAGGGAGTCCGGTTTATTAAGGCGCACCGTCGAAGAGGGGGGTCCGGAATATCAGGTCGCATTTGGAGGGGGTCCAGTTTTTTAGGGAAAGGGTCGATTAATGAGGGATTTGGAGTCTCCCCCCCCCTTTCGTTCGGCCCGAGTCTTGCTGCTCTGAAGACGAGGACGTGCGCCCCCACACTCCGCGGCGGCACGAGGGCGGGCGCGCGTCCTCGACCCACGCCAGCAGCAGGCGCTCCTCGAGGGCGACGAGGGCGGCGTAGTCCTGCCGGGCCCGCGTGCGCAGGTCCAGGAAGAGGGCTCCAAGGTGATGATGATGATGATGATGATGATGATGATGATGATGATGATGACGATGATGATGATGGTGATGATGGTGACGATGATGCTGATGATGATGATGCTGATGATGATGATGACGATGATGCTGACGATGATGCTTATGATGCTGATGATGCTGATGAGGATGATCTTGACGATGATGATGATGATCATCATCATCACCAACATCATCATCGTTATCATCATCATCATCATCATCATCATCATCATCATCAGCAGCAGCAGCAGCAGCAGCATCATCAGCATCATCATCACCACGAGGGAGCGAGGTCGAGTTTAAAAAGGCCCGTGCCAGTACGCAGGTCGCGCGACGAAGTGGCGTGGGTATGAGATCACCGCCTCCTTCGCGCTGCGCTGCTGCGCTGGCACGGAGGCTGCGTTTGCCGATGGCCGCTGGGCGCCACCCAAAAAAGAACGCGCGTGAACGTCAATGGTCAATGCCAAATTGCTGAAGCCAGTTCTGAATCGAAGTCCCACTTGGAACTCGCATTACGTGTGTATATCCGGGGATGGACAGAACACCGTTTAGCAATTCGTGGTTTAGTGTCAGCGACTTCGGGTCCAAACCTGGCGGGCGCAAGCCTGGAAAATTACGGCCGCGGCGCCCTCTCGAGAACCGAAAACGGACAATTCACTACTCGACGTGTCAAGGTGGGGGGGTTCTGTCCACCCACGATGTGTCTATGTATATATGTCATGACACCAGAGAAAAACCCCAACCAATGGATGTTTTGAAATGGGATCGATAAAGAGATCGATAAGGAGATCGACCGGGAAACCGGGAACCCGGAACCCACCGAAATCGGACCGGAACCTGACCAGAAACCTGGGAACCCAGCACCGGGAACCCGGCAGCCCAGCCGGCCACCACAATCGGCGGGAAACCTTCGCCAAATCTTTCAATTTCATCAGAGAAAAACCCAATCAGTGCATGGTTCCCAGACGTGATCGCGTCGTAAAAAAATCAAGACGTCGGGTTTTCGGCCTTTTTCGGCCTCGTGGGGCCCTCGCCGGGCCTCGGGACCGTCAAAAAACGACTCAGGATGAAAAACCGGTCCCGGGGAAAGGGTCGGGACTTCCGGGGATGCCGTCCTGAACAAATGACGTCGCATGTCTGGTTTTTCGCTGAAGAGATCGACCGGGAGCCGGGGAACCCAAAACCCAGCACCGAAATCGGCCCCGAACCAATCACCGGGAACCCGGGAACCTGGAACCGGGAACCTGGGAACCCCACCTGCCACCAAAATCGGCGGGGAACTTTCGCCAAATCTTTCAACTTCCGCTAGGACCCCTTCAGTGCAAGCACTGACTGGAGAATTTCCGCTAGGACCCCTTCAGTGCAAGCACTGATTGGGGAATCAACCAGTTTGAGCGCCGCATCAACGCTGACATCTCTACCACCGCGCGCACCAGCCCCCGAGATCCACATCACTCCCCGGCCCAAGCTCCTCGGGCGTGCGAAGCGCGTCGAAGTCATTCCTCAACCTGCTGCTCTTCTTCGCAGCGCATAGAGGTAATTGTATTGGATACCCTGCCGATAATGAGCGATCATGGGCGATATGTGTGGGACATCGTGGCCCCTGCTACATCGGCTGGGTCTCGCCTTCACGTGCCTTCCTTGGGCCGCACAACTCCCAGAGATCCGACGTCGTGATTTCTTCAATACGGGGTCCCTGGAAGTCTCGACCCCTTCCTCAGGACCGGTTTTTCATCCCGACTCGTTTTTTCACGGCCCCGAGGCCCCGCGAGGGCCCGCAGGCGCCGAAAATAGCGATAAACCTCCCGTCTTGATCTTTTCACGACGCGAGTGGGTCTGCGCTCTCCGCGCTGGGAGCTCAGGCGCCTCGGGCCCCGCCGTCCGGCGGCGCGCGGCCGCGCCGCCGCCTGGCGTGGTCCAGGACGCAGAAGGTCTCGACGTGGTCTGCCCCTGGTGGCGGGCCTGCTCTCCCACCGCCACCACCAGAAGCAGGAGGGGGAGGGGGGTCCTGCTCCTCCTCCTCCTCCTCCTCCTCCTCCTCCTCCTCCTCCTCTTCCTCCTCCTCCTCCTCCTCCTCCCTTCCTCCTCCTCCTCTTCTTCCTCCTCCTCTCCTCCTCCTCCTCCTCCTCCTCCCTCCTCCTCCTCCTCCTCCTCCTCCTCCTCTCCTCCTCTCCTCCTCCTCCTCCTCCTCCTATCCTCCTCTCTCCTCTCCTCCTCTCTCCTCCTCTCCTCCTCCTCATCCTCCCACCTCCACCTCCACCTCCTCCTCCTCCTCCTCCTCCTCCTCCTCCTATTCTTCCTCGTCCTCCTCCTTCTACTCCTCCTCCTATTCTTCCTCCTCCTCCACCTCCTCCTCCTCCTGCTCCTCCTCCTCCTCCTCCTCATATGTTTCCTCCTCCTCCTCCTCCTCCTCCTCCTCCTCCTATTTTTCCTCCTCCTCATCCTCCACCTCCTTCCCCACCCTCTCCAACTTACGGCGGCGGTGGTGGACAGGAGGCCCACCACCTGGAAAGAGCACGTGGCCCTCGGCGTGCGAGACGGTCCAGCCGCACGCCACGACGCGCTCCACGTCGCGCCGCAGGGCCGGAAAGCCGCAGCTGACGTACAGCACGCGCCAGGGCCCCGAGGCGCTACCGGCGTCGCCCGAGAGCGCCTGCACAACCTCGTCCTCCAGCCCCTTCCTGGGGTTAGGTCGGGCATGTTCCCCTACAGGCGGATTTGGGGCGAAAGATAAACATAGTCAAAGAATTTACATAGTAAAAAAAAGACTTTAACAAATCGCCCCCATATCATTTTAAAACTAATTCGGACATTCCTCCTGTAGAGGGACAGGCCCGACTGAATCCTGGGGGGGTCGACGATCAGCACGTCCGCGCCGCGGAAGCTGTCCACCCTCGCACGCAGAGGGCAGCGATACGGCGATACGCCACCACCACCACCTGCTCAGGGCCATCCTGGGCCTAGGTGTGGCTGGGACCACGCGGGTCTATAATGGAAGAAAAAACAGCATGAACATAAACACTTGGCGCTTCGCGCGGACTTCTGGACCCCCCCTCCCTGGCGCGAGGAGCGAGCCAGGGGCGGCGCCGAAGGCGCCGCCAGGGGGTTCCAGCGCATATTCAAGAAAAACCCGCGAGGAGCGCCCAAAGTCTATGTTTAAGGCGATGTGTTCCCCTTCTACATCTGTTATATATGTAGATATACAGAAACATTCATGTACTTATATACATACACACATTTACATCTATATAGTATAATTTCATACATAAATGTGTACATATACAAGTAAACATATATACGTATATTTGTATATACACACCATCCCGCGGACGAGAACGGCCCTGGACAGGCAGGGTGGTGTACACAGTTGCCCTCTGCAGGCCTCGTGGCGGCGGCCCCCGTTGTGTAGGTCACCCTGGGCCGGAGCTCTCGCGGCAGACCGCGGGCCGCGCGGCGGAAGCAGCGGGCGTTGTGCGGGTTCTCGTCGCTGCACTCGAGCGCGGTCACCAGGTCGACCACGTGCAAGCCTAGAAGAAGGAAAAAAAAAAACACGCAAACTTTTGCGCTCCGCGCGGATTTCTTGGATCTGCGCTAGACCCCCCTGCCTGGCGCACGGAGCGCGCCAGGGGCGGCGCCGGAGGCGCCGCCGGGGGGCCTCTGCGCGGATCCAAGATGTCCGCGCGGTGCGCCAGAAACGTATGTATTTTAGACGAGCGCGCTCCGGTATTCGCAAAGTAACTACTCGCAGATGGCCTGGATCCGCCGCGTGTGATCTACGAACAATTTCGCCGAAACAAGCAAATATGTTTCGGACGCTTGCGAGTAGGCACTTTGCGAGTAGTGGAACGCGCTGGGTGGTTTAAGGCGTTTTCTCTTCTTCGGAAACCAATGGTGCCCACGCCGCCGTAGAGCTCCACCACCCGGCTGCCGGCGGGCACGAAGCCGCGCACCGCCGCGACAATGGCCTCTCTGAGGGGCCCCCGACAGGGCGAGGGGCCACGTTCTCTGAGAATTCTCTTAGGGTGGAGGGCTCAGGGTGAAATCCGTATGGGCTTTTGCACCTCGAAGATGAATCCGTCTTGTGATTCACCTTTTGCAGATTCAAGCCTCGAAAATCCATCGAAACGGCATTTCAGATTTCACCCTTTGCCCTCCACCCCAAGAAAACTCTGGTGTTCTAGGGGCAACGCTTGCTCACAGGGGGAAACATGCAGGAGAGCCCAGAATCGAATCGACAAGTCGAATCGGCGATCGAAATGAATCGTATCGCTGGAGATCGACGGCCAAGTCGGGAGGAGTCGAATCGGCGGAAATCGGCAGAATAGGAAGGCCTAATTGAGAAGTCGGAGCCCACATCGGAATCCGAAATCGAGTCGAATCGGAACCGGAAGCCATCGAAACCGAATCGGAGGAATCGAAACGAGCCCTGAGCATGGGCCTGGAATCGGCGAGACCTCGCCGACAGGCCTCTCGGCTGAGGGCCCCCGAAAGGGTGAGGGGCCACATTCTAGGGGGGATGCTGGCTCAGGGGGGAACAGGAGGAGGAGGAGGAGGAAGAGGCGGAAGAGGCGGAGGAGGAGGAGGAGGAGAAGGAGGAGGAGGAGGAGGAGGAGGAGGAGGAGTGGGCCTGGAATCGGCAACCCTCGCCGACGGGCCGGTGGTAGGCCCCCAACCACAAAGAAGGCTGCAGGGTCGCGGGCGGGGCGGGCGCTCGGGCCCGTCCTGTCGGCGACGAAGGGGCGATAGGGGGTCGCGATGCGTCCCCCCCCTGAGGCTATCCCCACCCCAGCGTTGCCCTGAAGGGGGGGTGGGGACACAAAAAGATCCCCTCCTCCTCCTCCTCCTGCTCCTCCCCCTCCGCCTCCTCCTCCTCCTCCTCCTCCTCCTCCTCCTCCTCCTCCTCCTCCTCCTCCTCCTCCTCCTCCCCCTCCTCCTCCTCCTCCTCCTCCTCCTCACCCGACGACTCGAATTTCGGGTTGGGGGAGAGGGGGTACGGGTTCCACGCTCGTTTTTTCGATAATGTTCCCCGCCCCCCCCCACGCACACTGGAAATGGAGGGCAAATTAGGGCATTCGGGTTGGGTTGGGGTGGATCGGCGGGCTTTAAATATCCGAGATTAAAACAACAAAACATATTTTAGCAGCGCCTCCATTGCTTGCGGTGGCTTCCGCTAGCTGCTAGCTCTCCGACGTCGAAGCCGCCCTCTCGTGGCGCCTGCTGGCTTCCACCGCACTCCGTCGAGGAGGACATGTCAGCCCCATCGATCCCTCGAAGGCGACCATGAAAGCTTGCCAGAAATCACCCTCGGGCTGCAGTTGCGCTTCGATGCACAAGTTAAGCTTGGCGAGCTTCCATGGAAGGGCAGAACATGTGAAGCATCGAGCCCAGTTCGAAACGAAGGTGGATATCATCCCGAATTGTTGACGCCCATACATGTTACGAAGGAGGCGTGTGTTCTGAAGGCCTCCACGTCGGAGATTCGTGGCACGCTGCGCTAGGCCGCGCGCGGACCCCTCTGCCCCGCATGCGGGAGGCATGCTTCCATCTCTCAGGCTTCTGCATCCCCCTGTGTGGCCGTACCGTCTTCCTATGTGTCTTAGTACTGGTTAGGTTCCTCGTGCTCATGCTCCCCCTCCTCCTCCTCCTCCTCCTCCTCCTCCTCCTCCTCCTCCTCCTACTCTGCGATTTCCCATTGCTCGCCGTCTGCTGCTTCCTCCTCCTGTTCGTAGCGTAAGCATACTCATCCCCCTTTTCCTCCTCCTCAGGCTCCTCGCCTCGCTCGCTGCCCCTCTCCTTCTGCCCAGTAGAAGACGGCGCCTCATTCCTCGTCCTCCTCCCCCTTCTCCCCATCCTCCTGCTGCTACTCTTCTCCCGCTGCTGCACCTCCACTTCCTCCTCCTCCTCTCCCTCCACCTCCTCCTCCTTTTCTGATTCCTCCTCATCATGTTCCTCCTCCTCGTCATCTCTGAAAGCTTTATCTCTGAGAGGTGAATTTAGCGACACCCATCGGGGCCCTCGAAGGCGCAAGCGCTCGCATGACTGAGCCTAGCCCGGGGAGAAGCGCTGGAGGGGCCACCTACGTACCTATACGACCACCCTTCGGGTGACAAGGAGGTTCGGGGGGGGGAGGAACCAACGTCTCACTCGATCGGTCTCACTATCGATCTCAGTATCGGTCTCGCTCGATCGATCTCTCTCGATCGATCTCACAATCGATCTCACTCGATCTATCTCACAATTAATCTGACTATCGATCTCACAATCGATCTCACAATCGATGTCAAAATCGATATCACATTCGGTCTCACTATCGATCTCGCTATCGACATCACAACCGCTATCACAATCAACGTCATCATCATCATCAACAACAACAACATCAACATCATCATCACCAACATCACCATACTCGGGATACCGTCCTCATCATCAACACCAACATCATCATCATCATCATCATCATCATCATCATCATCACGGTCATCAACATCATCGGGACACCACCATCATCATCATCAACATCATCATCATCATCATCATCATCACCATCATCACAATCATCATCATCAACATCATCATCATCAGCAGCATCGGGATACAGTCATCGTCATCACCATTATCAGCAGCAGCATCATCATCGCGACACCATAATGATCACCATCGCTTTCATCATCATCATCATCATCATCATCATCATCAGCATCATCATGATCATCATCATCGGGACACCATCATCATCACCATCTCATCCTCATCATCGGCATCATCATCAGCATCATCAACATCATCATCAGCATCATCATCATCGTCATCATCGGGGCACCATCGTCATCATCATTACCAACATCAGCATCATCATCATAATCATCATCATCATCATCATCACCATCGGGACGCCATCATCATCAACATCATGATCATCATCATCACCATCAGAATAATCATCATCATCGGGACGCCATAATCATCATCAACATCATCATCATCGGGACACAATCATAATCAGCATCATCAACATCAACATCATCATACTCATCATCATCGGGCCACCATCATCATCATCATCATGATCATCAACATAATGATCATGATCATCATCATCCTCATCATCGGGACACCATCAGCATCATCATCATCATCGTCATCATCATCATCGACATCATCAGCATCATCATCATCGGGACACCATCATCATCATATCATCATCATCATCATCGTCCTCATCATCATCATCATCATCATCACCATCATCACCATCATCATCATCAGCAGCATCATCATCATCATCATCAACATCACCATCATCATCATCATCATCATCATCATCATCATCATCATCATCATCACCATCATCATCGCGGGACACCGCGGGACATCGGCGGGACACCGCGGGGCACCGCGGGACACCGCGGGACACCGCGGGACACCGGCGGGACACCGGCGGGACACCGCGGGCCACCGGCGGCCGCGCCTCAGCCACACGGGACACCAGCGGGACACCGGCGGGACACCGCGGGCCACCGGCCGCCCGGAAGGGAGACATTTGGTCCGGCCGCGCCTCAGCCACAGGAGACTTTCTCTCGCCCGCCCACGCAGCTTCGCCTCGCCCGCACGGCACGCACGAACACGAAACCGAAATCGATTTCCCGGTAGGGGGGCTCTCCGTTCCACTTCGATCTGAACCCCTCACCTCCGACCCTAGAATCGAGCCACACATCTCTGCTAGGGCGCGTTCAGACGCAGCGACGAGGACCGTCCAGGGGTGCAAGAAACGGGGCACGATCACCATCCCGTCCTCCTCTTCCATCGGTCGTGGGCAGACGGGCCCAAGTAACTTATGGTGCCCGAACTGTACCCGAATGGTTCCCGAATCGGATGCATGATGTTTCAATGATTATGTGGTGTTGCGTTGTGTTTTCGCGCCAGTGCTTCAGTCTGCGAGGACAGCATTGCGCGCGGTTCTCAATCGGGAGCCAGTCACCGAAGTTCGGTGACGGGCTGATCCGCAGGTCAGAGCGAACACCCAGTTAGGTCCAGCCCCTGGCGCGAACCCCACGTGGAGGGAGCCTAGCTGCCCCGATACGCAACACGCAACACGTAGCGTGTTGACACGGAGCCCAACACGTAGACTGAAAATGTAGGCCTGACGCGATACGTTCGCCAAAACGTGGGCCGATACGTTGAACCAACACGAGACACATTGACACAGACGTTTGGAGCACGGTACGGGTTGCGTATCAAAACGGGCGTATAGAGGCAGCTGAGGGAGGGAGGGGAGGGGGTGGCGGCTCCACGCTGCTCACGCATCCTGGCCCGCCCGCGGGGATCAGGGGGCACGACCGCGGTCAAGGCCCTCATTGCCTGCGGTCCGGCTCCTCGTCCTACAACCCTCAACAACATTACACGCCAGTCGGAAAAAGTAGGTAAAAACAGAAAGTAGGAAGGCGGGTAAAGTAGATTGGGCGCAGGCCCTCCCAGAGAATAACGAGACCCAGCAAAACCAGATCGGTTCTTGAAGTAGGAATGCGCTTGGAGTAGATTGGGATATGGAAATCAAAAAAACACCTACTTCCAACGACTGGCGTGTAATGTCACAAGTTGTAGACGTACCCCTTCAATGCCGCTCCCATTCGCAACCTCGGCATAATATCGCAACTTGTCATGCCCGAGCAGAGCGAAAGGAGGCCTGGGCCACTGCGGCTCAGAAGATCCGCGACGACCGACGTCGGCGAGGGGGCGCCAACAAGCACTTCGCACGCAGTGTAACCCATACCCAGATTGGGGGCGTCCAAGGGGAGGGGGGGCGCAAAACATGGCCGCCGGCATGTGCGCAGCCCAGGGGGGGACCGGCGACGTATTGAAATAAGAAGAGGCGCCAAGAAATCTGGGGAATTATCATGGCCCCCGCCATGATATCCACACACCCCTAGTCATCACCCCCCTCTTGGCCGCTCCCGACGAGAACATGATCATCACATGTTATTAGCAAACTGGCACAACGCTGGCACCTCAAAGGGCGCAGCGCTCGGCGTCTGGCTGGAGGTCAGCATCCGCCACCCCGCCCCGGGCAGACCGAACGGCAGCAGTGGTCAGAGAAGGAGCGGGGCAAGCGCCAGAGCAGAGCCTGGAGGTCCGCCTCCCCCGGAACCACAAGCTTGCAAGCGAGACCCTCGCTGGTGGGCATCCTGGTGGAAATCCCAGGGCCGTTTCCAATGCTGAGACAAGAAAACGCAATAAACAGAAACTTTTGGCGCTCCGCGCGGACTTCTGAACTTCTTGGATCCGCGCCGGACCCCCCTCCCTGGCGCGCGGAGCGCGCTAGGAGCGGCGCCGGAGGCGCCGCCGGCGGGGGGACCCAGCGCGGATCCAAGAAATCCGCGCGGAGCGCCAAAAGTTTATGTTGATGGCGTTTCTTCTTCTTCGAATGTGATTTTCTGCCGTGGGCATCCAGGCGCCTCGAAGGCGCAGAGATTCGCCTGGGGATGCCGAAAGGTACCGATACTGCTACTCCCCGGTGGGGCTCCGACCAGAATCTCGAGGGAGGCGACTCCAGCGGTGGCGACGAGGGCCTCCCACGAGGCCCTAAAAGCGGAAAACGAGGGAATGGTAGAGGTTACGGGCCCAGACATGCGACGTCCGGACTTTTCCAATACGGCGTCCCCGGAAGTCCCGACCCGGCCGGTTTTTCGTCCTGAGTCGTTTTTGACGGCCTGGGGGTTCGGCGAGGGCCTCCAGAGGCCGAAAAATAGCGAAAACCCAGCCGTCCTGATTTTTCTTAACCACGCGATCATGTCTGGGGGTACCTTTTCCTCCTCCGATCGCCTGCCGGAACACGTGCGGGGGGAAGCGCAGTAGGGGCGCCCGGTATGGCAGCGCCAGGCTCGCCAGCCGCTCCCCCAGAGGCCTCCTGCGGCCCGCGAGCCGCCGCCAGGAGCCTCGGAGGAGTGGACACAGCGGGGGACAGGGAGGGCAGCAGTAGGAGGAGGAGGAGGAGGAGGAGGAGGAGGAGGAGGAGGGAGGAGGAGGAGGAGAGGAGGAGGAGGGCGGCTGGAGGAGGAGGAGGAGGAGGAGGAGAAGGAGGAGAAGGAGCAGGAGGAGGAGGAGGAGGAGGAGGAGGAGGAGGAGCAGCAGCAGCAGGAGGAAGGCCCGCAGCTCGAGGAGGAGGAGGAGAAGGATGACGACGACGACGACGACAACGGCGAGGGAGGAGCGAGGAACATGGGAGGAGGGAGAAAGGGGGACGAGGAGGAGGAGGAAAAGGAGCAGGAGGAGGAGGAGGAAGAGGAGAAGGAGGAGGAGGCGGAGGAGGAGGAGGAGGACGGGTGGACCCCTGCGTCCCTCAAGGTCCGGATACTGTAAGCAATTTCCAACCATTCCCAGACGCCGCTGGCGAGAATCGTGACGTGACAGGCCCCCTCCCCACTCACCCTTCCCCCCTCGGTCTCGCGCATTTTCGCCAGGGCATCCAATACAATTACCTCTGAATTAGGTCGGGCATGCCCCCCCACAGGCGTATTATGGACGACAAATAAAACATACCCCCAACATGCGAAAACAAATTACAGTATACTAAAAATAAAAGGAAATCGTCCCCTGACTATTTTTCATTATTTTCGAATATACCTCCTTTAGAGGAACAGGCCCGATTTAACTCTATGCGCTGCGAAGGGATGGCTTCGACACGCTTCGCACGCCCGAGGTGCTGGGGCCGGGGAGTGATATGGATCTCGGGGGCTGGTGCGCGCGGTGGTGGAGATGTCAGCGTTGATGCGGCGCTCAAACTGGTTGATTAACATCCCCGCCGAAAACTAGGTCGGGCATGTCCCATGTACCTCCAGGATGCATCTCATCCAAGAGCCCTCGCCTTCATTGAAGGGGCCCAGGGACACACAAATAAAAATACACACATATCCCAAAATTTACCATATTCCCCAATCAGCTCTGCGACGCTCGCGGGAGAAATAGCCCTAAGACGAAGCGGTGCCGATTTTGCCCACGTGTGACTCTGGTGCTGGCGGCTTTCATTCGGACCCCGCCGTGCATACAGGAGAGCTCATAATCGAATCGATAAGTCGAATCGGCGATCGAAATGAATCGGATCGATGAAAATCGGCAGCCGAGTCGGGAGAAGTCGAAGCGGAAGACGTCGGCAAGACAGTAGGCCTGCATTGAGAAATCGGATCCAAAATCGGAATCCGATGCCGAATCGAATCAGAATCGGAATCCATCAAAATCGAATCGAATAAGAGGAATCGAAATGAGCCCTGGCCGTGCACAGACGAGGACTTGGGAGGTCGCGTGCATCTCTGCTGACTCGAATGTTCAGGAAAAAGAAGCGATCCTTGCGGCGCGTGCTCCAACATGCCCGATTGGCAGACCGTCTCTCGGGAATAAATCAAGGATCTGAGCCGAGGGCGAGCCCGAAAACAGCAAGACCGATTAAACGCCAACCTCGAGTTCGACCGGTTCGAGTGCGCCGATTGCGAGCAGCATGAGTTTACCGACTTCGAGGACATCGATTGAGCCGAGGGCAAGGTTCACAGGCCCGGGGGGTCCGAGAGCGAGCCGAGCGACGCGTGCGAGCCCCGGGACCACGCCTCCCTCTTCCTCGGGCGTGTCTGGACCACAGGTTCTTGGGTCCAAGGCCGAGGATTCAAATCCCAGGCCAGTTTTTAATGTTCGTATACCTGAGCATGTTCTTAGGGTGAGGGCTGAGGGTGAAATCCGTATGGGCTTTCGCACCTCGAAAATCAATCCGTCTTGTGGGTGGGTGGCTTTCAGGGTGCTCCAGCATCTGCCGTTAGTATAGTACTACCAGCAGATGTCGGAGCAGCAAGTTGCAGAGCAATGGGCACTGCTCGTGCAGAACCTGTGGCTGCTGCGCCGGTCCACTGGGCCAGCCAAGCTTTGCGCTGCGCCTGCCAGAGGCCCCAGCAATTCAAGGAGATTACCATCGTGGTAGAGAGCTCGGACCCCTCGCGCGAGTCGGAGAGGAGGCCTGCGCGGCGCATGAGGTGGATAGCCGGGGCCATGTCTACCCGAAAGGCCGAGCTCGTGACGCTCTGCGAGAAGACGTGGAGCATCGCGCTACCAGACCAGGCGGTGAACATGCGGGTGGTCGACCCGCAAGAAGCTCTCAAGCAATTCGACTCGAGTCTGAGCGACGAGACCGTGGACAGGAGGGCCCTGGAGAAGACTTGGGGGAGCAAAAAGATCACGTTCGGACTAAAGCACGAAGGGAAGACACACCTGGAGGTCTACCGGGACGACCGGGACTACTGCGACTGCATTCAGACGCAGGCCACGAACGTCAACGACGCGATGCAGCAGTTCATTAGCTACATCGAAATGGAGAACGAGATCGACCCGAAGGTGAAGCGGGGGACAGCACACGCCGGCGGGGCAATCACAGCAGGACACCGACCGGACGAAGAGCAGTCAGCGCCCAAAGGCGAAGGCCAGGAGAGCGGCGAGCCCGTCGAGACTGGACACCAAGATGGCCGACAGTCACCGGAAGGGGCTCCCCTCGGACGACTCCTGGGAGGACGCAGCGGTTTGAAGCTCTACGCTGAGGCCAGGCATGTCCCCCTACAGGCAGATTTTGGGCGAAAATTTTAACAAAGCTACCAATTGAAAAAAAAGCGTCCCCTGACTATTTCTTGACTATTTTGGAACATTCCTCCTGTAGAGGGACATGCCCGACTTAAGTGTAGGATTACTCGTGATCTGCACACCTAGAATGTGGTCGACAAGACGGATGCCACCCACGGCAAGGACCCGAATGAATGAACTGCCAAGAATCTACGCGCTTCCCGGCGGACAGGGCATCCGCGACGTCGCAACGGAGTTCTGGCATGAGCCCGACGAGCCGAAGACGAGTGACATCAAGCAGTGTGAGTGGAAGCGCATCGTGGGCGACGTTGTCAGCCACATGCCAGAGCAGGTCCTGTTCAGTGGAGATGGCGCGGTCACAAGCAACCTCACTACTTAGGACACGACCTATGACCAAGTGGAGATCTGCTCGCCGCTGCGGGTGCTCGGCCCGGGGGTCAAGGCGAAGATCTCGGGAGATCTGGCCCTGGACCTGAAGACGGGATTGGACTGCAGAAGGAAGGAGGACCGCATGTGGGCTATCGCGGAGGTGAAGCGAAGGAAGCCAAAGGTTGTGGCTCTCGCGCCTCTATGCCAGATGTTCGGCGCATTGCAGAACCTGAGCGCAAGCATGCGAACCGAGGACTGGGAGAGGAAGTGCCAGGAGGCGCTGATGTTCCTCAAAATCAGATTCGCGATCCAGATCGCGAAGCTGCAGCTGGACGCGGAGCGCCATTTCTACCTGGAGCACCGGTGGACGGCAACGTCATGGGGCCTTGCCGAGATGCGGAAGCTGATGAAGGACACAGGGTTCAGAGGATTGCATTGGACCAGTGCGCCCACGGCCAGACGGACTCCATCGGAGAAGGGCTGCTCAAGAAGCCGACGGCCATCCTCACGACGCTGGACTACACGGAGGACCTAGAAAGCTCGAAGGACCACGACCCAACCGCGGTGGTCGGCAGGCAGCGGGGCTCGGAGGGAAGCTGCAGAAGATTTCAGAATGGTCGCGTATACATACACCCACGCTCGCGAATACAATCTGCAGATTCATCAACTCGAACATCGAGCGCCCGGCCGACGAGCGCAACATGGCGATGGCGAATTGTGCATGACGCCTCACCTGCGGGACCCAGAGGCGACACGTGGGAGACGCGGCGAAGCGGATACACTGGAGGCCCGTGCACAAGAAACCTTCCACAGGATACCCAGCCCTGGGACCCCAGGACGTTCATTGATTTGCGCTGTGGGAACGTCGCGCTCTCCATGGAAAAAACATCGAAACCCAAGGAGCCCAGGGCACCCTGGAGGCAGGCAGGGTGTCTCTTGGCATGTGCCCCCGTACATGCCAACCTCGGGCACGCTGACCTGAAACGCTCGAGCTTCGTTCTGAAGATGGCGAAGGCGAAACCACAGCTCCTGGATGCGATGAAGCGCGTGATCGAGGACAGCGACATGCCAGCCACTAAGCATCCACACTCAACGCCTCCGTCCAGGCCCCCGACACCAGAAAGTTTCGAGTTCAACGAGGTGATGAGCATCGACTTGCTTTTTCGTCGACACCACCTGGGACAACCATGACAAGCCCAAGAACGAGGTCACACAGTGCCTCGATATCGGGCGGTGGTCAGGCTTCCCGACACAGAGAGCCAGAAGATCCGCTGGGCGCACCGCCAGTTCTGTCTGCGTCCATACGGGCGCCCTACGCCCTAAGCGCCTCATCAGCGACCAGGAGAAGGGGATCACGCGGGGCGTTTTCGCAGACCGAGCCAGCGCCGAGGGCGCCGAGCTCGACCCCGTGTGCGCGGAGAGTGAATGCCAGAACGGCAAGACAGAGACTGCAGGTCGGCTGTGGAAGAGGACGCACTACCGGATCTGGCTCACCGAGCCGATCCTGAGCAGTGAGGACCAAGAGAAGCTGCTCGATGCCGTCAACTGCGCGGCCAACGAGCGCGGCCTGGACCTTCCAGTGCTTGGGCGAGGAATCCCACTGCCGGAGGGCTCCTGCGAGGGCGAGGAGGACGTGGGCCTGGACGCAGTCTTTCGACGCGACGCTGGCGACTGCTCGTGGCGAGGGCAATCGGGATGCGACTGGCGGCCTGGGAGGCCTACGCACGCGAGTCCATCATGGATCGGCTGGACCGGGCCAAAAACAATAGGAGCGCCCCCTCCGGAGGCGACTGGAACCCGGGGGACAAGGTCTACTTCTGGAGGCGGCAGGGACCCAAGAGGGAAGCCTGGGAGAATTGGCGAGGCCCTGCCACTGTGATCAGCGCGGCCATCCCAGGGATGGCTTACCCGTCCTACCAGCGCGGGGTGATTCTCTGCAGCTGGAAGCAGCTGCGGGCCGCAACTCAGGCGGAGGTGCAGGCCCACAACTACGCGGCCAAGACCAGGGTGTCAGACAGCCCAAGGGACAGCAGGGCAAGCGCAGGGTCGAGGACATCTCGGACCAGTTGGACCCGAAGGACACGGGGCAGGACCCGCGCGCCCCGGCAACCTGCAGACGCCGGGGCGGTCCCTGCAGCTGGCAGTGGAGCAGGCGAGGCCAAGGCTCCAAGGGCCGAGGGCGCAGGCCACGGCTTTCCCGAGGTGGTGCTACCCGAGGACGCGGAGGACTCGGAGGACTCATCGATGAGATCCCAGAGAGTGAGGAGCCAGTGCGACGGAGGATCGCGACCAAGAGGACGGCCACAGGACGTCTACTCGTCGGGCACCGTGTCGGAGCAGCACGTTACCCCGAAGAGGATGGTGGACGAGACGCCAGAGATGCCGAGCCCGACGACATCGCGGAGATGGCCCAGCAGGCAGCGGAGGTTGCTTGCATGCCCATCAAGCAAGCGGCCAAGTGTAAGGAGGTGCACTTAAAGGACCTGGCGATTGAGGAGCCCGAGCAGTTCATGGAGGCAAGGGACCTGGAGTGGAAGAACATCCTGGTGGTCAAGGCGGTCAGGATCGTGCCCCCGAAGGAAGCGGACCGCGTCAGGCACGAGACGCCGGACAGGCTCATGCCGAATCGTCACTGCTACACGTGGAAGAAGAAGGACGCAGGCCGCGTGGCTAAGTGTCGATGTGTCGGCCGTGGGGACAAAGACCACCCAACCGTGCCGGATATCTTCCCCCCGATGGTGTGGAAGGAGGCCCGGATAATGAGCATGCAGCTGGACGTTTTCATGGTTTTGATATCGAGCTCGGTGACATCAGCTCGGCCATCATGAACGGGTACCGCTACCTCTCAGCCGACGGGACTCCTGGAGCTGAAACTGGCTCCATCCTGGAGATCCTGGTCTGCGTCTATGGGCTCGACGACGCCCCGCTCCAGCGGTATAAGAGCTTCACCGCGGAAACGAGTCAGGCGGGCGTCGATGTGAGCTCCTACGACCCGTGCCTGCTGTACCGACATGATGGCGACAAGTTCCACGGGTCCCCGGCTCTGGCGGTGGACGACACCTGCGGCGGGGGCTATGATTAGGTCGGGCATGTCCCTCTACAGGGGGATTTTGGACGAAAAATTTAAAATACCCCGAACAAGCAAAAAACACCAACAACTTATAGAAAATGGGCACCATTGGCACCATACTATTTTTGACTATTTTTGAATATTCCTCCTGTAGAGGGACACGCCCGACTTAAGGCTACGAGCATTTCCAGCGAGCGACGGAGAAGCTCCAGCAGAGGTTCCTGCTCGGCAAGTATAACAAGGGCAAAGGCGATGTCCTGGGCAAGCAGCTGGAGCAGCTGCCAGACAAGCCTGTGAAGGTCAGCCAGAAAGACATGGTGGAAGACATCGATCTGATCAGCATCCCTGCGAGTCGCCAGGCCATGCCCGACGAGACGTGCAATGAGAAGAAGATCTCCCCCCTGCGCGCGGTGCCAGGGTCCCTGAACTACGTGCGACGAGAGACCGGACCCGACCTCAGCGGACCGGTCTCGCTACTGCAGGACACGTTTCCCAAAACGAAGGTGGCGGACCTCCTGGAGGGCAAGCGGCTGGTGGGCATCGGCAAAGATTTCTCTCACACATGCCTGTGGATACGGCCCATCAGCCTGGAGGACTTGGCGGCCTTCCTTGCTGTGGCCGCCGCGGCCTGGGTAAACGCAAAGGACCAGGCCAGCCAGGCCAAGTGGATCTTCATGGTCGGGGACATCCACATCGGCAAGGGCAGGTGGGGCACGAGGCACCACTAGGGGGGGAGGAAGGCTCAGGGGTGGTTTTCCAACCCATGCCCCCTCGCGCTGCGAAAAAACACGACGGGAGGCTTTTGTTCTCCCTTTGCGGCCTCAGGAGGCCCTCACCGGGCCTCGGGACCGCCAACAAAACGACTCAGGAGGAAAGACCGATACACCCCTGGCTTGGAGGTCCCATTGTCTGGCTCGAAGGTACCCAGTTCCCTGGCGGCGGAGACGCTGGGGGCCGACGAGGGGCTCGCGAACAGCATCTGCTTGTCGATGTTCGCTCAACTGGCCTTCCCTGGGCTGACGGCAAAGACGGCACCAGAGGCCAGACGAGTGTTTCCACTGACCGTGGTCACGGACAACACATGCCTGTACGATCCCCTGTGCAACATCGGCGGGACCAAGCAAGGACTGGACGGGACGGCCCTGGACACCACGATTCTACGAAAGAGCACTAGGGACAGCGAGGCGGGCATCAGATGACACCAGATCACCGACCCACTTACGAAGAGGAACGGCTGCGCCGACTTACTGTGAGGAGTCCTGCAGAAGGGGGAGTTCGTGATAGTCGAGGAGGACCGAGCGCTGAAGATCCGGGAGGAGGAGCGGAGATCGAGAGTCACACGACGGAGGGCTTTCGGCCGCCTTGCGCGACCGACTGAGAACAACGCTGCTGCTGCTGGCTCGCCCGGCACACCGGGAGCCGACCAAGCCTGCCTAGTCTTAGGCGGTTCCAACTGCTGCATGCTTTCATGGTATACATAACTGGCGCTGCGCGCACGACCTAGTCATCATAATTGCACCCTGCCTGAACCTTGTAAAGTCTCTGGAAGATGTGGCCTGTGGGAAAGGAACGTGTCTTGGCATCTAAAACTTCTGCGGCGTGCAAGGACGATCCGGAGTTGTTCTTCTAAGACTTACCCAGAGATGCCAGACACCCCCAGCCCGAGTCCCTCTATAACCGTGTTGGTTCAGGCAGGGGCTTCGGCCCCTTCAGTGCACTAAGGCGTAGTGCTCGTGCTGGTACTGAAATGTCTCCTCCCCCAGAAGCTGCCACTCTCCCGCAGATCCACTCGATTTGGTAAGTATGTGGAATATGTGTGTTTTCACCGTGTCCTTCCCAACACCTTGAAACATACCTAACAAAAGTTGTGTCTTCGCAAGGCATCCTTACCAACACCTTGAAGCCTATATGGGATACACGTGTTTTTGCCATTTCCCCAGCCTGGCGCGTTGCCCCTTGGGGGCGTGGAGGAGGAGAAAGAGCAAGAGAAGGAGGGGCGCCAGTCTCCAGCAAACCGTCATTTGGAATATCAATGGTGTCACCACTTTTCCTTGTCAAAACCTTGAAACAGATCTGATAATACTGTCTTCACAGGGTTTCATTACCGACACTGGGAACCTATCTGGAGCATCAGTGTTTCACCCGGCGTCCTTCAGACGATACCTCCTTATCAGGCCCGTTCAAAAGGAAATCCTTGTGTAAGGCCGCCGCACAATAACCAACTTGCACGACGACCTCAAAGCGAATCCCCTGGCAAGGCCGCTCTTGCAGGAGGAAGAGGAGGAGGAGAGGAGGAGGAGGGGGAGAGGAGGGGAAGATGAGGAGAGGACGAGGGGAGGAGCGGAGGAAAGAGAGAGAGAGAGAGAGAGATAGAGCGAGAGAGAGCGAAAAATAATAAGACGAAGAAGAGGAAGAGGCTGAGCCCACATCGATGTTCATGGGGGCCCATGTGTATGATCATGTGTGGGTGGGGGGGGCGTCTATCTATGTGTACATATATACATATGAACAACAATACGTGGAGGGGAGCCGATAACACTGGCCTCGGTGGGAGGTATAATCAAATTTCTCTGAAATAGCATAAACAGACGCGGCGAGAGAGACAGAGAACGAGAGAGAGAGAGAGAGAGAGACAGACAGCGAGACGGACGGGGGAGAGGAGAGAGAGAGAGAGAGCGAGAGAGAGAGAGAGAGGCGGCAATACCTCGCGAGAGATGATGACAAAATAATGGGGGGAATCACACGGCGCGTCACACATTCGTTCGCCGCCGCCTGGATCGTAGTTCACGATGCGGGAGACGTGGCGGCTGGCCGGGTGGAAGTTGACCCAGAGGCTGAAAGCCAGAAGGCCCAGGGGAGACGCACGCGGCGCAAGTGCGCTCTCGCTCACGACGCCAGATATCGGGGGGGGGCAGGAACGGCCCCTCCTCCCTCCTTCTCCTCGCTCTCCCTGTCCTCCTCCCTCCTCCTCCCTCCCTCTCCCTTTCTCTGTTTCTCCACGAAGGCAGCGGGGCTTCTTGGAAGCCCGCCTGGCTTCTGAGAGGCCTTCTTGGCAGCTCCCCCAGGTTTCTCCAAGAGGGGCCGCCGCCTTCCAAAAAGCCAGCCCCGCATTCTTGTTAAAGGCCGCACCCCTCGCGCCATCCCCGTGTGGGCACCGCTGGCGGATCCTTGAGCCTCCTCCTTTCCCAGGGCGTCTGGCGGCTCGACCACCTCGGGACGCAACCGCGGCGTGACCCGGCTCGCGCCCACTGCCAAGACGTGCGACGTCCTGATTTTTTCAGGACGGGTTTCCTGGAAGTCCCGACCCTTTCCCTGGGACCGGTTTCTCATCCTGAATCGTCTTTTGACGGTCCCGAGGCCCCGCGAGGGCCCCCCGAGGCCCAAAATGGCCCAAAACCTCCCGTCCGGATTTTTTTAAACGATGCGATCATGTCTGGGTGGACGTCCCTGGCGGTCTCCAGAGGAGCCCGCCGGCCGAGGACACCGCAGGCCCCAAGGCTTCCAGGCACCTCGGGCCTCGATTCTCGAGGCTGACGTCTGCGACACCGCGTGTCATGCTGGGCTTGTTTTCCACCACCACCACCATAAGTTGGAGGGGGAGGGGGTCCTCCCCCTCCTCCTCCTCCTCCTCCTGCTCCTCCTCCTCCTCCTCCTCCTTCTCCTCCTCCTCCTCGTTGTCCTCGTCCTCCACCTCCTTCCCCCATCCAACTTATGGTGGTGGTGGTGGAAACCAGGCCTATCAACTCAGGGCACGCTCTGACCAGGGCTTCGGGGCGGATGCGGCCGTGGGCCGCGGCGGCGAGGGAGGGGCATCGGCATCGGCATCTCTTGCCTTTCCGAGGAAGCTCGTGACTACCTACCAGACCACCCCAACCCAACCCGAAGACCCGAACTTGACCCGAATTTCGGGGGGGGGTACGGGCTCCATATGCTTTTTCAACACTCCCCGACCCCCCCCCCACTGGAAATGGAGGGCAAATTGAAGCCTTCGGGTTGGGTTGGGGTGGTTTGGTGAGCTCTGGGTATCGTTAGGTCGGGCATGGCCCCCTACAGGTGGATAATAATCGAAACATCGTCCCCAGACTATTTCTTGACTCTTTATGAAGATTTCTCCTGTAGAGGGACAGGCCGACTCAAGGGTAGCAGCATCGGCCTCTCTTCCTTGTCCGAGGCAGCTCTGGGTATCGCCTTTGTACCTCGTCGCCGGAGTCCCCGGGCCTTGGCTGGCTTCCGTGGGGCATGGAGTGCCAGCAGCGGGCCCGCCGGAGCCGCTCCAGCAGCCGCCGCAGCAGCTCGCCGGCCTCCGCCTCCGAGGCCGCGTGCCAGACCTGGGGAGGAGGAGTAGGAGGAGGAGGAGGAGGAGGCGGAGGAGGAGGAGGAGGAGGAGGAGAAGGGGGGGGCCGCGGGGAGCTCACGGGATTCGGGGATCGGCTGCGTGGCGGGGCGCCCCGTCGTCGTCGTCGCCGCCGTCGTCGTCGTCGCCGTCGTCGACGCCGCCGTCGTCGTCGTCGCCGTCGTCGTCGTCGTCGTCGTCGTCGTCGTCGTCGCCGGCGTCGTCGTCGTCGTCGTCGTCGGCGCCGTCGCCGTCGTCGTCATCGTTGTCGCCGTCATCGACGTCGTCGTCGTCGCCGTCGCCGCCGTCGTCGTCGTCGTCGTTGTCGTCGTCGTCGCCGTCATCGACGTCGTCGTCGTTGCCGTGGTCGTCGCCGCCGTCGCCGTCGCAGTCCAGGCACTGGGGAAAAAGAAGCCACCCGCGCGGTGCGAGGCCTGCTTTTCGTTCACGAAGCCACAGAAAAAGAAGGAGCCGCCACCACCAGACCGTCGATACTCTCGGCACTCTGCTCGGCGAGGGAGACCAGGCTGGGGGAAGAGGGCCCGATACGCGGATGGACCCATAGGAAAGCGCATCACGCGTACAGTCGGGGCTCGACCACAAGAAGCCTTCCACAAGAAACCCAACCCTGGAACCACAGGACGTCCATGGATTTTTGACGTGGGGGCGTCACGCCTCCCATAGCAAAACCATCCAAACCCAGGAAAGCCAGGACACCCTGGAGGCAAGCAGGGTGTTTCTTGGCATGGGTCTCCACTGTAAGGCGTCTCAAGAGTGCGGTGATAAGATTTGTCCGGGCCATGCTCGCCGCAGGAAGTTCTGGACGACGCTCGCCCAGACACTCGAGAGCGAAGAAGCCCCAAACGAGCGGCAACTGCTGCCTGCCATCGTCCCCCCAGTCGTCTGTCTACCCTGGCGATTCGCGCTGCGCGAGGGTGGGAATCTCGCTTGTTGGGGCGCTATCGCACACCCCCATGATTAGGTCGGGCATGTCCTCCTACAGGCGGATTTTGAAAGACAAATAAAACATTACCAAAACATGCTCAAGCATATTCAACAAAAAGCACGACAAATTGTTACCAGACTATAATTGTACCATTCTTGAATGTGCCTCCTGTAGAAGTACATGCCCGACTTAACCATATGACGAAGGTGCGGGAGGGACCTTCGGCAGGCGGTGGATCCCTAGTTGAGCCCGCAGGGGCCCGAACACGTCCATATCCACCGCCTGCCGAAGTCCCAGAGATCTATATCACCCACGCGGTGGTTATGAACAGCTCTCCGCCTGGCAGTGGCCCGAAGCGACACCCTCGAGGATGATTGCCCAAAACGACACTCGGGTCGGACCAAAGGCGATGTGGTGAAGGTGGGGTTAGCGAATCAGCTCACGTAGCTTGTTTTCCCGACGCGTCGCCTCCCCGTGCCGGGAGGCGCCAGCGTATGGAAGAAGCGCCCAGCGGTGGGGCCGCAGCGGGCTGCGTGCGGCAGGCTTCGCAATCCCCCCCTTTCCCCTGGGGGGAGGCAGTGTGGGAGGAGGAGACGGTGAAGTGGGGCACAAACGCACGGCAGAAGAACATACGCCGCGGTCGCGCGATTCCGCCGATTTCCTCCCTTGTCCTTGCCCCTCCAGAGAGGCGCGCCACGTTGAAGCCCACGGGCGGCCAACAAAAAGATCAGAAGCGAGCGTATTGAAAGGCAGGTCGCCACACATTTCCCGCTTCAGAGCTGGCAGTGGAGAAACGATACGAGTCAAGTGCGCTCGGTTTGGGCCGCTCGAACAGGAGGACACAACCCTCTGGACCATTCGGACGCCACCGAGCCAACCGCAGGCGACCGCAATGCCAAGAAGCCCCTCGCCATAGCAACCCCAGGGTCGCAGGACATGACTCGACTGCCACGCTGCTTGCACCGCCATGATCGCTTTTGAGGCCTCACGTGCCCACAGGCCGCAACGACGCCTTCGTCTGTCCAGCCGCACGGGCGAGCTCGCACCACAGGGCACGCGCGCCTGAACTCGCGAGTGCCCGTCGCGAAGCCAGGCTGTGTCACAGGAGGCCGCGCTGTGCCACAGGAGGCCGCCTCTCCGCAGAGGAAATCGCCTGCCGCCCTCCCCCCCGGCCACCTACAGCAGGCTCATGCGAGAAGGAGCCGCGCCGATGACGAAACTGTCTTCCTCGTCCACCCGTACCTCTCAGGGGCCTTCGCACGAGGACGCGTCCGTAGAGTTAGGTCGGGCGTGTCCTCCTACAGGCGGAAATAGTCCAAAAATCGTCCCCGTAACATTTTTTTACTATGTTTGGATACTCCTCCTGTAGAGGGGCGTGCCCGCCTTAACCGTAGAGAGGGGGAACTCCTGGCGGGCGGGTGCCTCATCGGATGCGCCCAGCTGTGGATCACCGAACTTCGCGCTTCGCGCCGCGCAGCGCGGTGTCCGTCCTATTCGCGTGCGGGGCGTGACGGCCCTGGCGTTGGTCTTAGGTCGGGCGTGCCCCCCTACACTACAGGCGGATTTTGGAGGAAAAATCTACAAACGCCAAACATACATCAACCAATACTAAAAAATAGTCCCCATACTGTTTTTGACTATTTTGAATATTCCCCCAGTGGAGAGACAGGCCCGACTGAACGTTGGTCTCTGCCACCGCGTGGATCCTTCAACCTTGAACGATCAGCGGCTCTTGGATCGCCGGATCAAGCTGTGTGTTGACCGACTCTGTGCCACCGGCGGCGTGCAACCCTGAACGCCCATGGCGGGGTCGCCGCAACGTGGTCGCCGGCACGTCGACCTCCTCCTCCTCCTCCTCCTCCTCCTCCTCCTCCTCCTCCTCACATGACACGAACCCACCGGAGATCACTGTTGTGCACGCCCGATGCATCGCCAGAGACAACATGCAGCAAAAGAGAGACATCGGCTCACTCCAAGCCAGGGTCTGCCGCCCTGGTCAAGCCCTTACGGCGGCGACTCTCGACAACTCCCGGGCATCACGGGCAATAAAGCGATAGGCCGCATCGCCCAAAAAGAGGAGACGTCAGGGGAATCAAAGCGGAGACAACTCTCAATGGGGAGCATCGGAATGAGGAGCGGAAGGGGGGAAGAGGGAAGAGGGGGAAGGATGGGGAGGATAGGCAGCAGCATAACAAATGAGCCTCGGGCTTCCGAGGCGCAAGAGCGGGGACAGGCGCGCGTCGATGGAAAATGGATAGACGCCTACTGCTTCTTCCTCTTGCTCAATCTAAAGAGGCCCCCGCCCATTCCGACCAGGGCCGCAACCGCCAGGGACAGCGGCAGAAGCAGGCCCGAATCGCTCCAGTTCGGCCACGTGCTGCGGGCGGCGATGTCGCCGCGAGGGGGCAGGTGCTCATACTGCCACGTGCCGAAGGCGGTGAAGTCCTCATACAAGTGCTGGATCTTGCCGACGCCCTCGAACACGACGCCGTTGTAGCCGTCGTCACGACACATGGCATACAAGGGCATCCCTGGCACCGACTCCACCTCCACGCCGAGGGGGGCCGTCTCTGGCACCCAGCCGTTGTGCCAGCCCCAATGCACGAGGTTGATCTGACTGTTGCCGGCCCAGAACACGCCCAGCCAGCCGGGGCGACCGCAAGCCGCGAGCGGAGTGTCAGGCGTGACACCTGGCTGCGGAATCACCTCGTGCCTAAAGTCGCCCCAGGACGTCGAGTCCTGGAAGAAGTGGTGCACCTTCTGGTTGCCGGCCCAGACGATGCCGTCGTGCTCGTCGGTCCTGCCAAGCGCGTACACCCTCGTGCCCGCCGCGATCGGAAACGGCGTGAACATCTCCGACTCGGGCACCCAGCCGTTGTGCTCGCCCCAGTGCGTGCGGACAAGCTTATCGTCGCCCGCCCACCAGACGGCCAGGTAGCCCCTCCGCCCGCAGGCCCCCAGCGGAGTGCCTGCGGTGACGCCTGGCGACGCCCAGGAGTCGTACTTCCACTCGCCCCAGGCGGTCCAGTCCATGTAGAGGTGGTGCAGCCGTCCCGCGGAGGCCCAGACCACGCCGCTGTACTCGTCCGTCCTGCTCATCGCATACAGCGGGGTGCCGGGCGCGATGCTAACAGTCGGGGACAGCTGCTCGTCGAGTATGGCCCAATTCGAATGCGCGCCCCAATGCCGTATCAAGACTCTCTCCTGCCCAGCCCAAAACATGGACAGATACCCTGTCCGACCCGCGGCAGCCGACGGAGTGAAGGCGAAGTCGGCGAGCGCAGCGGAAAGCGACGGATCTGCCACCGCCCGCTGCGGCAGCAACGAGGGCAGTTTGTCCTCGTGCAGGTGGGCATTCAGCAAGGCCGTGACGCTCTCGTACTTCCACTCGCCCCAGGACAGGTAGTCCTCGTACAGGTGATAGGTCTGGCCCGACAGGTCCCAGACTACGCCGTTGTATTCGTCGTCCCTGCACATGGCGGACAGCAACATGCCTGGCATCGCGTCCACAACGGGCGGCAACTCTGCGTCGATGGGCACCCAACCGGTGTGGACGCCCCAGTGCTTGAGGTGGACCTTCGCGTTCCCGGCCCAGAACACCCCGAGCCAGCCGGGCCTGCCGCACGCCGCAAGCGGCGTCAGCGAGCTGACTCCGGGCGTGGGGATCGCGCTGTGCTGGAACTGGCCCCAGCTCTGCAGGTCGTGGTAGAGCTGGTGGATCTCACCCTCGCCCGCCCAGACCACGCCGTCGTGCTCCCCCGAGCGGGCAAAGGCGTACACGGGCGTCCCGGCCAGGATCGGCACGGGGGGCTCCAGTATCTCGTCCTGGGGGACCCAGCCGTTGTGCTCGCCCATGTGCTTGCGGATGATCCTTCCGTCTGCGGCCCACCAGACTGACAAGTAGCCCGGTCGGCCGACGGCGGCCAGGGGCGTGTACTTGGTCATCCCCGCCGTCTCGAAGACCTCGTACTTCCAGTAGCCCCACTCCGCGTGGTCGGTGTAGAGGTGGTGCACGCCGCCCTCGGCGGCCCACACCACGCCGTTGTACTCGTGGGCCCTGCACATGGCGTGGAGCTTCGTACCGGGCGAGATGTCGACGTCCGGGGGCAGCTCCGCCGGCGAGAGCGTCCAGGCGTTGTGGTCCCCCCAGCTCATCATGTGGACCTTCCCCTCGCCGGCCCAGTAGTACGACAGGAACCCGGGCCGCCCACACGCCGCCAGGGGAGAGCCATACTCCGCAGGCTCCATCGCCCGCGCGGGGCGCACCTGCTCGCGGAGAGCTGCGGCGTGCGCCTCACGTGCCCAGGGCCTGCACGGCGCCGGCACGGCCCGTCTCGGAGCCTTGAAAAAAAGGGGAAGAGGCCCTGAGCTGGCAGATGCGGCAGGCCGTTCCGACCAGACTGACGAGCCACACTCTGTCCACACAGTGCTGTGCTGTCAGGTCCTCGCTTTGAAGCCGCAGCGGCGCGTTCGTCCGTCCTTGCTTCGTCATTCTTTCCTCCTCCTCCGCCTCTTGCGTTAGCCCGACTTGAGGATCTAGCCTGTAGCGTTCTTCCTCCTCCGCCTGCTCCTCCTCCGCCTGGTCATCCTTCTCCACCTCCTTCTCCTCCTCCTCCTCCTCCTCCTCCTCCTCCTCCTCCACCTCCTCCTCCCTCCTCCCATCCCTGCCTGTGCCCTCCGCGCGTCCATCTCTGCACACGCTTCGTTGTCCATGGCAGAGTTTGCATGCCGCCAGCCTGCACATGCCGGTTCACCACTCACACGCTTCGTAGCCCCGTGGGGATCTCGTGGCAAAGTTTAAGTCGGGCGTGTCCCTCTACAGTCAACAGGAACAATACTTAAACATACTTGAGGAAAACGCATGACGGGCACGATTTTCAGTATTTTTGAACATGTGTTGATCATGTTCTAACTATGTCTTATTTTTCGTCCAAAAACTGCCTGTAAAGGGACATGCCCGACCTAAGGCAAAGTGTGCATGACGCCGACCCTCGCAGTTTGGCACTGCCCTTCACGTTTTTCGTGGCCCCATAGGGGAGCCCCACCACAGGCCCTAATGACAACATTCGTATGCCGCTGCCCCGCAAATGTCTGCTCACCCCTCACACATGTCGTGGCCCCCATCCGCACCGCCCCGGGCTCCATCCCACCCATGGCGTGGGATGCACTACTTATGAGGAGAGGGCCATATCCTGCATGAATCGCAGCTGCACGCGATAGGTTGTGGTCGTCGCTGCCGCGAGCACGGGTCGCGGACTCGGACTCGAATCCAACCTGGTTCACATGACAAGCTGCAAGTGTGTTTCCGGAGCCAGATGACAACTCACCATCAACTCTCTGAAATTATCAGAATCGGCTGTGTTGAAACACGACGTGAAGCGGAGCACGCGAAAACAGTCAGACAAGCCCAGACCGTCACACGAAGTACTTATATATATATATATATATATACATATATATATATATATATTTATATATATATTGTCTCCTCAACAGCGAACGTGCACATGAACGAAGCAAGGACGGGGCTGCATGTTGTGAAAACCCGCGTTGGACACGAGAGTGGCTCTTGCCCGATCGAGTATGCCCAGCCCGGGAAGAACCACACTCGCTGGGGCTGCACTTCCAGCCCAGACTGGCTGGACAAAACCAAACCCAAACTATCACTCCACCGAGACATGCTGGCATGACATGGCGCGCCTAGCGCGATTAGGGATTTCTGGTGAGCGTCTTCTTATTCGGCGTTTCGACATTGGGCAGAAGGGGAGGGGGAGGGGGGGTGTCTGGCTCCGGACCTCTGCTTAGTGCGACTGTTTGCACCAGTGCGTCCTAGGGGGGACGCTCCACCTGCTCGAAACAGGCGCCAAGAACAGCCAAGATCTACTCCATGGGTGGCTACCTACCAGACCACCCCAAACCAGCCCGAAGACCCGAATTTCGCCAGAATTTCGGGTTGAGGGGGGTACGGGATTCATTTGTTTTTCAATGTTCCCCGACCCCCCCCACCGGAAATGGAGGGCAAATCGGGGCCTTCGGGTTGGGTTGGGGCGGTTTGGTGGGCGGTGAATGGGGGGGGGGAAAAGGGGTTGGGGGGCCCGCGCCGATCCGCAAAACAATTAACAACAAAACGCTCTCAGTACTCCACCGAGACATGCTGGCACGACATGGCGCGCCTAACGCGATTAGTTGGCGGCGCGCCTGGGGGGAAGTGAGAAGGGGCGGGCCTTCTCAGAAAGCTCGGGAGTTCCCCCGGCCTTCTGAGAAGTTTTCTGAGCTTTCCCCGAAGACGCAAAAAAACCTTCTCAGAAGGCGTGAGGGCTTCTGAGCAGTCCCGCCGCCTTCTAAGAAGGCCTTTTCCCTCTCATTTCCCCCCTCGCTCGCCGCCGAATTAGGGTTGTCTGAGCTTTCCTCAACTGCCCTGCTTGGAGAGGACCGGAGACGCAACAACTTCTGTGGGGCTTGGCCTGTTCTCGGCATGGCCGGCCACGCAGTCACAGAAGACAAGGTCGTCGACAGAAAACGGCCCAGTGGCTGGGCACAACGTCTCGCCGACACTCCAAATCCTTAAATTAAACGACCCCCCCCAAAAAAACGGGACACCCCTCCAAATGCGACCTAATATTCCGGACCCCCCTCTTCGACGGGGCGCCTTAATGAACCAGAACCACCCAGCTCTGATCCAAAGAAACCGCCCTAATAAACCAGACCCCCCCAATTACAAAAAATGGCGCCTTAAAAAACCAGACCCGGGGGACGACTAATGAGGGGTTTGGAGTACATGACTGCATGCCGAAGTGCGTTCGTGCGAATCGTGGCTCCCTCAAACCAGCTTTGCAGGACTCGCGCCAGTGTTTTGGGAGATTTGCACGTGAACTGTCGACAGCTCGCCACGCTCTTGGCATGGGCACTGGGGCAACACATGTGCCGCCACAGCATGCCCAAAGGGTAGATGCCGAAGGACCAAGGAGGCATCTCGATAGCAACCGATTGGCAAGGTCGCGCACGCACTTTGGCCAAGCAGCTTCTGGAGAAGCGTATACCCCGCTAAAGCCTTGGAAGTAAAGCTCATCGTATGGCCTCCTCCGTTCCATTCTGTGCACGCCCGAAGTCACACGCCCTCAACATGTTCTAGCCATTGACTTCCTCCGCCAGCATGGCATTTTCGGGCATGGGACGGGGAGAAGTGGTTGACGGAGCGGCGCCCGATGTGTGGAGTCCTGCTTCATGTGGTACTTGGCTCCAACAAAAGTTTCCTTGGAAACTCGCAAGAGGAATAATATGTATGTAAACCCGTCGGCAAGATGAAAAGTCGCGCGCGCGTGCTCAGCATTCGCACGCACGCGATCCCAAGACGTCCCATGGCCACAACATGCTTCCAGGAATGCCTCAGGCCACGGACGATAACGTCCAGAGGACCCAGGGTGATGCCACCCCAACGCGATCCCGCCATGGATTCTGGACCGTCTCAGGCCGACTCGCAGATGACGAAACACATGAGCAACGCGTGACGCCGAGGTGGCCCGATGGCAACAAGATGGATCCAAACGCACCCAGGGTGGCCTCATAATGACCACGCGATGGTTGCGTGATCCAAACATGACCGGGATATGATCTCAAGATGACCTCAAGACGACCCCTAACACGGCAATAATACTGCAACTTATGAGCCCCATCTTACTTCGAGCCGATCCCAGCATGGTGGGATCCGTGAACGGCCCGGGATTTTGGTCTACCCCATTTTTTATGGGTGGGATTTTGATCGTCCTGAACTAAACTTATAATATTAAAGCGGAATAAGCTAGGCGGGATCCCGCCCGGCCCACAGAGGAAGACAACATTGCTAGGCTTCTACGGGGGTAGGGGGTTCGGAAGGGGCGTCGTTTACTTCCGCTGACATTGGCAAGCCTTCCGGCGGCCTTCCCCCGTCTTCCGCCTCGTTTTACTTCCGTCGACTTCCGCCGGCCAGCGTCGTGATGAAAATTCCAGGAACTTTAATTGGGCCGATGTAGGTGCTGCTATCCAACCTGAGGCCTCCCCGGTGAAGGAAGCGTCGCTGAAGTAAGTGTACGCCCGCGTCGTCTTCCTCAGCCGACAACCGTCGTAAACGAGGCTGTCTACGCAGCTGAAGGATCGCAGGTGCACCCAACGCACATGACGGCGGGCGTCGATATCGGATGTGCTTAGGATCCTGTGGATTCGAAACGTCGAGCTCATGTTAGTAGTTGGTTCTTCAATATCGTTCGATGTGCAACTTAAGTGGTCGATTGAATTGGCCCGTCCGTTTACTCATTTTGTATGGTCGCTCGTGTAGAGGTTATGTCCATGCAACTAGTGAAGGTTGTCCTGAATACATCACCACGGCCGCAGTCGCCCACGTCGCAACACGCAGTCCACGCGTAGCCAGCTCCACATCTTCTCTCCTCAGCTCGCTGGTCTGGTAGTCCGTAAAGGGCCTGGGCGAAGATACGTTTGGGTCTGTCACCTCTCGCAGCATGATGGCGAAACATCCTATTCTGTCAGTCGGCAATGGAAGTTGGGCAATTTCGAAAGCAAAGCCTTGTGCTCGCCAGTAGAGCCCATGAAGTAATGCGTGCAATTGTTCCTCGATTCGTTGGAGGACCCTCGACAACTTCGTCACCGTCTTCAGGAAGCCGCTTCCAACTAATCCGTCGAGCTCGGGGGAAAATGGGATTGCCTTGCAACGCGGGTGCGATCTGCCTCGCAAGAGTGAATTACATAGGGCCACGGTGTCATGTTCGACCTCCGAGTCGATACCATAGCTAAGCTGACCAATAGCACATTAATGGTCTCTGGGCGAAGCAGCTTGAGGCGCCCAATCGCTCCTGTGCTGAGCTCCATGCCGAGCCGGTACTGTCGATGGCAGTCCTAGGGGGCCACATGTGAACCCTACCCCTACCCCCCACGATTTCTGAGGGGGAGGGTTGGGTTCACTTCGCTCGGACCCCTGGTACCTGTGAGTGACCTGAGCACTCGACAGTCCCCATGTCAGTTACTCTTGAAGGAGTCGATCAAATCAGTTTATCCAGCGGAGGCTTACCTGGCGATGCGGGTGTTCGCTCCCATGCGATCGTGAAGCAGCACTTTTGCTTTGGATGCGTTGCCTCCCTGCCGTGTCGGTGGGGCTCCAAGCCCTCCCGATGCCGTGGCAGGCGAAGCCGAGGAGGGAGTCGATGACGCAGGGCGCCTGGTTCCCGGGACTCGAGTTCGAGTGTCTGCTGAGGAGCCCGTCGACGGTGCAGGTGGACAGTTGCCTCGCACGCGTCGCAGAGGAGAGAGCGGTGCCGGCGGAGGATCGGAGGGTCTTGGGCATGCTGGATTCGCAGAACCTGCAGTATCTGCGCGATCCACCCGCAACCTGCGGGCATCCACACTTCTCAAACACTTCCCACAGGGGAGAACCACCGATCACAAGCATTATGCTCGCTTGCGCGTCTGCATCATAACCACCTGCAATGGTACTGTTCTCCTCCAAACACTTTCGCACGTGCGAATAGCCTGCTGGGTCCTTTGCTTTCTGAGCGCTGAGCACCATCATGACATCACATGCGGTGCGGTCTTCGCCTTTCGGAGTGCGTTTTTCTTCTGCTCTTTGACCCTGTTCCCAAACGGATAGCCGCCTTCGGCGACCGTGTTTGCGAAGCAGCTTTTGATTGTGACCTGATGGACAAATGCTGGGCCCTTCGCTTTTCATTCCTCTCCCTGGCCGCCCATCCCCAGAAAAGTCCCCTCTCCGCAACTGTTGCTGAAGCCCTTCTCGAGCTTCCCCAGCCACTCCAGCCGAGACAGCATTCGACGCGGCCTGGTCTGGAGCTTGACCAGTTTGCATCGTCCAAGCTGCGCCCTCAGCGCCACCACCGAGATACAAACTTGTTTTGCTCTACGCGGGACGGCCCTGAACGCTGAAGCGCGCAGGCCTCCTCGTCATCCGCCACCTCGAGGCTGCCGCAGGTACGCTGCTGTCCGCGCCCGTTCCCCCCGTCCAGGCCCAGAGCAGGCGCCGCGGAGCCAAGGGCCAGAGCCGCTAGCACAAGCAGTGGCGATTGGACTATGCCGCCGCCCAGATCAGGTCACCTTCGATGGTGACTAACTGATGCCCTGGAGCGTTCGAACTGCTAATCAGCCTGGGTCAGCATGTCCATACACGGAGATTCGCGAACCGCACCTGGCCACCCGAGGGCCAGGCGCAGCGTTTGACGAGCAGTGCTGCGGGGACCTCCTTCGAGAAAGCGATCGGCTGAGAGGCCAGGGCTGGCCCTCTGGACAGTTCTGGGCCCAACCCCGAGCAGGCCCCTGAGCGATGGAGGCGAGAACGCCCCCCCGCCCCCCTCCCGCAGGCCGCCCAAGGAACACTGGGCCGGGACAAACATCGGAACGTGGGAGGCCCGGGAGGGCGCCCCCGGGAAGCAACAAAACAACATTTAGCCTGGGAGGTGCCCGAGCCTTCCTGAACTCGAGCAGGCGATCAACAGGACCGGGGCCGCTCAAACAGGCGCCCGCGAAGGTGGCGGCTGTTGCGCAGCTGGCCGCCCCCCGGGGAGGCGAGCTCTCATTTGGGCGCGCGTGGGCGTCGCCCCGCTGGAGCTCCCTGGAGCCCGCGAAAGTGGCGACTGCTGCGCGGCTGGCAGGCTCCGAGGGAAGGGGGAGGTCCAGTCTGGAGGCTTATGCTGGGCACCCCTTTGCCAGTGAGGCCTCCCAGATGGGGTCGGAGGATCTCGCCGCATCGCCGACACATCGGCGATGCATCGGCGACGTCGGCGTGGAGAAACTCGGGCTCCTCATCGCGCCGCATCGGCGATGCATCGGCAATACGGCACGATCCTCCGACCCCCACCTACTCCGAGCCCATCTGGGAGGCCTAGACTTTCGCTCGCCGGCGGCGGCCAACGCGACCGCGGCCCAAGGCGCCGGCGCAGAGAGATCCGCCGCGAATGGAGCAGTGACCGACCGTCCGGGTACTCCTATAGACCGGCCTACCAGGACATGTTCTTAGAACCACAAAATGTTCGAAGAACCAAAACAATGATCTTAGAACATGAGCCCGATGTGCTAAAACAAGATAGGTCTCAGCCAGAAATGCTCTGAGAACATCTCGCGCAGACCACAAGAGGTTCCTGAAACATTGTTTGGTAGGCCTATAGGCACGCCAGGACGATTCGCGACTGCGGCCCAAGGCGCCGGCGCAGATCTGGAGGTCGGCAAGGGGTGTGGCGTAAAAGGGTGTGGTGCCAATCGTGGAAATGGCGATGTTATCGACGATGGGGAAAGTTGCCAGATCCAGCGTTGGCACCACACCCCTTTACACCACACCCCCTTCCTACCCTTAGGTCGGGCATGTCCCCCTACAGGAGGGTTTTGGACGACCAAAAAAACAAGTAAAAAGAAACTCCCAGATAGCCAACCAAAAAATCAAAACATCGTCCCCAGATTACTTTTTAAGAAACACTATTTTGGAATATTCCTCCTGTAGAGGGACGGGCCCGACTTAATCCTACTCCCAGAGCAGAGAGAGCCGCCACGAAGGACCAGTGTGAGCTGCACCCGGCCGGTGGAGCGCTGCACGGCCAGCTTCAGGTAGCGCAGGTCCCCGGACCCCGCCTGCCACGCGCCGCACGCCGCGGCCCGGGCGAGGCGAGGAGGAGCAGGAGCAGCAGCAGCAGCAGCAGCAGGGCGAGGACGAGGAGGGGGCAATAGCTGACATCCAAGGGGCCCAGGGGCACACAAAATAAGGAGGCACGAGTCCCAGGACTCCCCCTTTGTTTTTCCTTTCGCTTCTGGGTTTTCGTCTCCCCTCAACTTCCAGATTTTCCCATCTTTTCCTGGGAGTCGACGATTGATGTGGTCTCTGTGTGTTATCTTATTTGCTTTACCTCTGGAAACGTCCAGAAAGCGAAGGGAAGCAAGAGGGTGCGAGGGATCAGGAGGACGAAGGGGAGGGGAGAAAGCAGGAAGAATCAGATCCGAAACCCACGACCACCCCTTGGTACTGAGTTCAGTTCCCACCCCCTCCGATGGGTTCGCCCCAGTGTGGGTGGGGTCCGATGCGAACGTACGGGGGGGGGGGCGGGCGCGGGCATGCGCGTATGCGCGCGTGCGATCGCGTGTGTTCGTGTGTGTGAATGTGTGTGTGAGTGTGTGTATGTGTGTATGTGTGTATGTGTGTATGTATGGATGCATGTATGTATGCCTGCGTGTATGTATGTATGTATGTGTGTATGGATGCATACATTCATGTATACATGTGTGTATGTATGTATGCATGTGTATGTATGCATGCATGCATGCATGTATGTATGTATGTGTGTATGTATGTATGTCTGTCTGTCTGTCTGTCTGTCTGTCTGTCTGTCTGTCTGTCTGTCTGTCTGTCTGTCTGTCTGTCTGTCTGTCTGTCTGTCTGTCTGTCTGTCTGTATGTTTGTATGTATGGATGTATGTATATGTGTGCATGTACGTAGGTGTGTATGTGTGTGTGTATGTACGCATGTATGTATGCATGTATGTGTGCATGTATGTATGCATGTATATATGCATGTATGTATGTATTGATGTATATATGTGTGTATGTATGTATGTATGTATGTGTGTATGTATGTATGCATGCATGCATGCATGCATGTATGTATGTATGCTTGTATGTGTGTATGTATGTATGTATGTGCGTATGCATATATATATATAGATGTATGTATGTGTGTACGTATGTATGTATGTATGTATGTATGTATGTATGTATGTATGTATGTATGTGTACATGTAGGTGTATATACGTATGGATGTATGTGTGCATATGTGTATGTGTGTATGTATGCATGCATGCATGCATGTATGTATGCATGTATGCATGATGTATGCATGTGTGTGGCGGGGGGGAGGGCCCCGGGTTCGGTTCTAAATATTGCTCGCCTGCGGCCTATCGGCAGGCCTGCGGGGATCAGGCCGCGCGAGCGACTTGCTCGTGGTCATATCTTGAGACCTGGTTCGCCAGACAACTTGTCCGCGGGGCAACGATAGGGGGGACTGGCATAGGGGGGATGCATCGACCAGGAATCGGCAATACACCGCCGATAGATCGGCGATAGGCCTCCCATAGCGAATCCTCAGCTTCCTGGGCATGTTGGGGCTATCGGGCCCCTATCGGCTATCCATGGGCGATTGGGGGTTGATGCATCCCCCCTATGCCTATCCCTTCCCATCGTTGCCCCCGATTGTCTGTAAGGGCCCGGCAGATCTTTTCAGAGCACGTGCGAACTCGTCCGGATCCGGAATCGGTGGCTCGCGGCGGCCCCTGGTCTGCTGCCTGGTCTCCCGCACGGTCTCGATCCGCGCCGCGCACGCTCGGCGGCGCAGAGCGCGACCAAAAATATCAGCGTTTGCGTGCCAGAACATTTTCTTTTGCGGAGCTGGGCGCCCTGGCTCGGACGGCCAAACGACCCCTGCAGCGGGACACCCTGGCAACGCGGTCGCCGCCGCAAAAACTGCTCGCTTAATGCTGGCGCCGCGCAAAGGCGGCGCCGAACAGAGTATTCTTTCTGCCGCGCGGGATCGCCCTCACGGGTCAGGCCCGGTCGCTGGTTGGCAGCCGCAGGCCCGCGCTCCTCCGCCCCCCCTCAACTCACCTGCCCGTGCGCCGCACTGTGCCTTGCGGCCTGTGGTCTCCGGGGCTCCCTCGCCACCGCCGCCAGCTCTGTCGGTGGCCTGCGCAGACCTGCGACGCGTCGCAGCTGCCAAGCGACCCCCCCCAGGCTGTCATTTTCGCTTGGCTCGCATCCGTGAGGAATGCTCGCGATCTGAGCTTGGTCTACGCGGTCCCGCGCTACCTCGCTTCCCTCCGCTGCTCCTCTTCTCGTCCTTGCGGCCGAGCCTACAACTCCGTCGTTCTCGCGCCGACTGCAGGATTATCTCGAATCGGACTGTGAATCGGACGCGCAATCTCACAAGAGGCTAATTAGTTCGGTTCGCGCGTTGCCAAGCG